GTCTTGCGGAGGCAACCCAGTGTGCGAGCCGCTATTCCACTCTCCCCCCCCAATGCAGCTGCTATCCCTTACTTAACCCTACAGAGAAGCCAGTTGGCGGGAACTGAAGCCGACACGAGTTTTGGCCCTGGACTGTGCTAATGTTAACTGGCGAAACTTGCCACCTCTCTTCTGGGCCGGTGTTGGAATGGCTGAAAGTCCACTCAGTGTGGTGGTTTTCTCTCTGAACCTGACCATGAGCGGGGTTAAATTGCTCTGCGAAAAATTTTTAACAGAAGCGTTTTGTGTACTCAACCAACATCTCCTCCCTCCCAGCTCTGACGCTTGTGTGCTGGCCATGCTGTTGAACAGTCCTACGGTGCTTCGATTAAGCTCAGTTACTGTACCCGCCGTCCGCTACTGTGTACATCGGTGAGAGAGCACGAAGAGTCGCGAGTGAATAATCTATGCTGAAGGAAGCGGAAATGTCCTTAATTGGTTTTTACTTTTCGCCTGTATTGTGACGCAAGTGATGAACTAAAAATATGGTTTTATTCATCACAGTGGGTACTGTAAAATTCTATTTTTCAGTTCTATCGCCTCAACGACTTCATTGAAAGGGCACAGAAGCGTACTTCGTTTCCACACGCGTTCAAAATATTCCTGCTTATTTCTGCATGTTACGTGTTGTTTCATTGGAACGCCTGCGTGTACTTTCTGTTCAGTCTTTCCGAAGGATTATCAGGTAACTCAATCATTCTGGTTAGCTTTTCGTTTTCAGTTGTTGCCACTTTCAGGTTTTCCGGGGTGATCACTTATGAAATGAAAACTAGGGGTTCTCTATGGACATGAGGAAACGTTATCTATCATACAGAAGACTTGAACTGAATAACTAATGGGAGGGCTAGGTCGGTGACTGTCCTTTGATAGCCGAGAGCACGAGTTATGTGTGCTTGCCGATGCTGGAAGTTCGTGGCCCAAACTTATCTCCCCCTCGGACGGCTTGCATGAGCCAGCTTCCCACAGCTTACGCTCTGTCGCGAGTTGATAGGGGCTGCCGAGATCAAGGTAGTATCGCGAAACTCCTTGACTGTTCGTGCGCAGTTAAACATCTGTGGTGAATCGTCTTTAGCCGGCACTTATACACCCAACGCAGTCAACCAATACACGGGACCACCACCCCCTTATTACCAAGCCGTTTCAAATAAACTACGTTGCAGTATCATTCAGCGTCCAAAACGATAATACCTGATGATTTGGGAACATTTGAAAAGGAAAAAAGGGGAGAAGCAAAAAGCACTACATTCACATTTGTGATTCACGTTGATGACTTGTTAGTGCAGACGCTGATAACAAATCCTCTAGAATAGACAGGCACCACGCGAGGTGTCTGGAACCTGCGCGTGACCATCTCTGGAAGGATCCGGGAAATTTTTAAGAGCGAGAATTCCCAAATAATCCGCCACAGTTCAGTAATTCTTCTTAGATTAGAACAGTTTTATTGGCACTAGCAGGCCTGTACTAATCACAATAAGTTCACCCCTCGTAGGTAAAGCGGAAATGATATAGTTGCCAAATGTGGTCGCTTTACCACGCGCGCGCTGTGCGGCCTCAAATCCTTGATGCACAGCCGCCCCGGCCGACCAAGAACTTCATACTCTGATGACAGTGATACCAGATCGTTTGGAAGGATGACTGACTCTAACTTGTGCATCGGCTGGCCTTGCTATATTGTATAGGTATTTAATTTATATATTCGCTACTGATGGCCGACTTATAGATTTTCAGAACAGAAGCAGAAGTGATGCCGTTAATATAACTATTAGTCACGGCAAAAAGCTTCAGCTTCCGCTGAGGAGTGCAATGAGGTAAAACCCTTTGCATTTATTTTTGCCGGAAAGATTTGTTTGGGTGTAATTGGGCTGTACGGTAGTAGAACGTACCTCTGAGATCTTCCCCTCCCTTCATAGGGTTACATCTCACGATCTCACGTATACGTCTTTTTTCTCGAGGTATATTTAAGCTCATGTTTGATGCAACGCAAAGGATCATGAACCTGAGTTCCACTTACTCATATGCAACATGTGTCAAAAATCACATGAGGAATTCGTAAAGCGAAGAAATAGACTGCACACTGATAATCTATTCAGTCCTGATTCACGCTGAGAAAAATATTGAATATTTGTAAAACGGTCTATGTAACTGCTTACGCGTTTTGGACGAAGTAGAGTCAATGTTTGAAAAAGCGGTTGATTTTCTATTGAAGTTTATACTAACTTTTCAGAGGACGATACAAGCGCATTTGGGTTTTCCTACTACAAAGTGTTCGATCCACGGATACCAACATGTTCTGTGAGTTCTACATACGATGCGAACACTACGTCTTCAGCTAAATCAATCAAGTTATAATCAATCTTGCAGGTGTTCAACGACCAAAATTGTCAGTTCCCGGAAAATTTCACTCCTATGGACATTGATGATTATCGTCCGCGGTATATGCAGGAAATGTATGAGTTTTGGGCGGGAAAGTAAGTTTTTCCCTACAAACTAATGTTTTAACGTAGCTCAACAAACGCTCATGTACTATCACTGCGGGTGAAATTAAGATTAGAATCTTGTCCTCTATCACTATTCTATTGGTCAGCTGATTTCTGCGTAGCACCAGGCTGGACGAGAAGTCCTGCGACCTTTCGGACATAATTTTGAGCCGAATTTTCTATCACTGAACTAGACTTCAAGTCTAGGAAATGATCGCCGTCAGTAACAAGGAATAGCTTTCGCTTTTTTTGTATTTCTTTCTTTTGCAACGATGGAGAATCCCAACTGGAACTCATAATATTAGGTTGTCCGGAAAGTTCTCAGCGTTTTGTGTTACTATTTTTGTACATTCATTGCTGATTAAAAACTCATTCTCCCTTGCGTCTCAGTAGTACATCCTGAAGAGAATTTTTTGCGCTATCTGATGGTATAATTGCCGTTTCACCATTGCTTGATAAACCCCTTTTCCCAAGACTTTTGAAGCATGTCAAAAGAGCAACTTTGGACGTGAAGACAGCTCGACAAATTGAACCAGGTGTGGGGCCCAATAGTGTTGGAGAAAGCACCGTGCGACAAATTTCGTTCTGGAGATTTCAGCCTTGAAGATGAACCTCGTAGCGGTCGACCTAAAGCAATACCTGACGAGGATTTGAAGCGTTTGTGGAGGCTGACCCATCCCAAACAGTTCGAGAGATGCGCCGAGCCAACCGAGGCAATTTCCAAGCCGAATTTTCACGAAAAAAGATGATCGGTCACAGTGTGTGGTGGTGTATCCACTTAACTTTTTGTCACCAGGCCAAACCATCACAGCATAGTCCTACTGTGAAGAAATCGACGAAATGTACCAAAAATTGCGTCAGCTGCAGCCAGCACTTGTCAAACAGAAAGGGTCCGATTCTTTTGCATGACAGCGCGCCCACACGTTTCACAAATCACTATCCATGAATTGAACGAATAAAAAACTGGCAGGATTGAAGTTCTACCTCACCGCCATATTCTTTCATTACCTTCGCCAACCGACTATCCACCTGCCACGTTTTCAGAACTTCCCTTGCGCCTTATTTCGATTAAATCCGATGAGTATTAAGAAAGTTATGATCGTTTAAAGTGAAACACTCAAAACGCTGAGAACTTTCCGGACAACCTAGTACAAAAACGGCTAAAAATTACCTTCACCTTTGAGGGCCTTTCAAGCTCTGGACGATAATGATGATGGCGATCATTTCATAGACTTGAAGTCCGCGGAGCCATAACACATCCGTTTGCAGAAAGACACTCTCCAGTAACTGAGGGTAGCAACATTTGAAATGTTCTTTTATTGTGATAACTACTGTTCCGCGCCTACAGTCTTCAGAAGGTATGCCCTGGCCTGGTTCTTTCTCTAGAGCAATTTGTTCCACGCGTCGCATGACTTTTTGTACAGCCTAATATTAACAATGATTAGAATCGAGCGTAAATATTGACTTTTATTTTAATATGGTTCAGATTTGTGAAATGGGAAATGGGTAATTTTTCTCGTGAATATAGCATGAGCATTTATTGGTCGGCTCTTACCATAACTACTTGTGGTCAGCAGGTATGTATTCATCAAATCACCCTTTTGAATTAATTTCAATTGTCTCTCGAACAACAGAGGCAGTGCATTTCCTTTTCCACTTGCCTCCGAGTCCCGCTATGCGTTCAGTTCGAGCGTAGAACTGTAAAAGCGTTCCATGGCAATGATAATTAAGATTTCAAGCATTCCCAGCTCTAATCAACCAAGCAATGAGCGAAGGCTTAAGGTTCGACTAGAATAGTTCTAAAGTCCACTCTGTGCGACGTTCAAGCCCGAGTCAATGCTCGGCCACACTCCTGCTGGACA